TGCTTTGAGCAGGGGGTTGGACTAGATGACCTCCTGAGGGGCCTTCCAACCCTAATTCTTCTGATTCTATAGTTTGTACTACAAATTTCTAATGTAAGGTATTACGTAGATGATAAGGATGCTATTTTTCTAACCTTTGGATATGTCTTAAAGATCTTTCCCTATGCTATGCTTGAACAGGAGGTAGTTAGTGATGATACTGATGTGAAGTTCAAAGATAGGGATGAAGAAGGGTATTGCTGTCCATACCTTGCAGTAACATGTTCATGTACCCATACTCATAGTGGCAGATCTAATGTTGTTCATCAGAAGGTCTTTGCAGTGAACAAGCCATCCCCACTGAAGAGAATTCTTCCATGTGTGTTCTAATTACCCAGATTTAAGCCGTGCATGAAGCCGTTGCTCTTGCTGTAGCTTCTGAGTAAACAATTGAGGCCCTGTCTATACTTAAATACTGATTTTCCTAGGACAATTAAGGTTTTAACTAATTCTTTGCTTGTCAGGCAGGCCCTTAGAAAATAATGGCATTCATTTCCAGAGCTCCTCTTACTGATACTTTGACGCGATATCCTGGTAATTAGAAACCCTTATGCTTTTGTGAGGCTGAGTAGAAAATCTCCCTGAGCATTTAAATTTTTGGTTTTCTGTCAGATTGTATAGAATATGCTTAACTTCCTTTTGTCATCTGAAGGGTCTATCCTCTAGTTGGGAGTCATGGAAAAAAAATCCTCACACAGCATCTCTCTGAACTTCTCTCAGCTTCCCTTACCGTGGCTGATTAAAGTGAGTTTGTCTAAAGTGGTCTGGCAGATTATAAATCCCTTCTCAAACGGTGAGCATGATCTTGCTGTTATCAAGAGACTCATTAGGATGGACAACACGGGACAACATTGAACATCTTTTGTCCTGAAATGGCCAATATTTTTAAAGTTGAAGCCATTCTTACAACTAATTCATGATTCTGACTGCCACTTTCTGACAGGGAAGATGTTGAAGTGACTACTACTTTGTTGTCAGGAGATTTACGATCATCAGGGTCTGGATCAAAAGTATTTGTATTCATTGTCCCCCCTCCTCCCCCACCATTCTGCCTCTGAGACAGTATGAGACTGTTGTTAGGAAGTGCACTCCCTGCATGATATGGACTGATTCAGGAGCACTTGAGGCTTTCCTTAACCTCTCGGAAGTGTCAGAGCCCTGTAGCAAAGCATGCACGATACCCCCATAGTATCCTGTCACAAGGCAGTAAAGCCAAATGACCAAAGGACAGGGCTACCAAATATTATGCAACAAACCCCTATCATAATATGAACTGGAGAAGGTACAATCTGTGTATATTTGTACCTGTGAAACACCTGTATAATGTTTGCACTTGCTCATTCCCTTTCCCAGAAAGAGCAATTGATGTAATTGATTAAACTGTCCGTTATAATCCAATTCCTGTACTTTCTAACATATAACACACCCCAGGATATAATAATGAACCTTTTTGAAAGGCAGAATGAAGAGAAAAAGATCTGTCCCTGTAGTAGCTGGGCGTGTCTACACATGCCCCCCATGGGGCAGTTATTACTGCAGCATCATTTAGTACTTGCTTTAGGCAGCACATAGCTATTTTTAGCAGTTACGTCACCACAGGGATCCACTATACCGAGGTAGCTTGTGGCTACGGCAACATAGCATCTTGTGTAGACATGCCCACTGAGTAGCAGCAGCTGGGTAGCGCCTGCTCATTGTTCTGCTCCCAGTTACATGCAGATTTTACTTTCATTTTTGCCTGTAAATGGCAGAAATTGTTCTTACTCTATTTCTGGCATACAATGCATACTGAAATGTCCAGCAGCCATGGGGGGAAGAAGCGTATGTTGTATGCAAGAAAATACAGCAAATGTCACATTGTAAATTCAGATCTGACATGGTCAATACCGTTTACTATAGTCCTTGACATCCTTAAAACAGAAAAGGAGACTACAAACCTCCCAAATGAGCCTGTTGGGGTCAGAATGGGTTTGAATATGCTCCACAATCATTTGTCTTCTTCCCCATTAGGAAAGTGGGAGCCTCTAGTTCCCCTGAGCCTTTTGTTTTCTTTTATTAATTTATACTGGGGGTACAGGGATTTTGAAAGCCTTCAGTTCTGATTCTCCCTTCGGATCCAAGTGATTGTACCTAAGCAAACTACCACTTTAGTATACGCTGACAGCACTGTGAAGTCAAAGCAGACATCTCGAATGAATACACTTTATACAGTAGGGTTACAACCCTTCTTAAGGAACCTGTCTCAGACTATTACCTGAACCCTTAGCTTAGTTTCCTAGGGAATTTTGCAAACTGATCTCATACATCTAGGAGAGCTCTGGCATGGTGCTTGGTTTTTACAAATATGAACCATATTTTATGCATCAAATTCTATGCATCACAATTCTCCAAAAACCAGAAGCTTGTTTCCCCTCCTCTCTGCCCATGTCTCTATTTAATAATCCTGTCTGAAAAACAGACTGTAAAAGCCTGCAGTAAAAAAGGAAATCATTAAGTGAGAACAACTCATCCTATGTACTGAATGAGCAATGATCCTGTGATCATATGACCATCATATGTTCACAGTGTGTGAATACTATAATAGAGTATTATATGATCACATTTTATGATTATATACAGTAACTGGAGGCTGTATCAACATGTATACAATACATGGATGGAGGGAGCACAAATCATTATACAGTCTTAATTTTACCATTTCTAGTCTCACTTCACAACCTTAATATTTAAACCTATAGTTCATGTACGTATATAATATCTTTATTATCAAATATCAGTTTCTGTCACTATCATATAAATGTTATTTTTTCATTTATTAACAAATTCTGATATGTAAGAGGTAATTAGTATAAGAAAGGCACAGCTGCCTGGGGAATATATTAATCTAGGAGCCAAGACACTACACAGTAGCAAATGAAGGGCAACATGCAGTGGTGAGAGAGGAAAAGGATACACTGATGAGTCTGTATTAAATATTCCCACTTTGTGTGTGTTGCTGTGGCCCACTTGATCCCTCATCACTTGGACATCATCTCCATTGCATTCTTCCACACAGTTGAAACATTGCCTTTTTGTTGAATTTGGCATATGCCTCTAGGTAGGCTACAGAAGATGGGCATGTATGTTTGTTTGCTTTTATTTCCAGTCTTGCCCAAGTCAACAGAACGAGGTAATCCATCACTGCACAGTAGGAAAGAGGCTGGGAAAATAGGTGCCAAAAGTGCTTGTTTAGGTTTGGCTCTCCTGCTCATCAGTTTGGGAAGAACAGAGAGAAAGTCATTAGTTACAATTTGGTATAATGAAGATATAAAACTAAGAGTCTTACAATGTGAAAACAAGTTATAGATGAATAACCTAGTATATAAACATGGAAATGGAATTTTATAGGGTTCAGTTTTCTTTGAAATAATCAGGCAAAGATCAAAGGATTTGTAGGGGCTTTCTTAAAGATACAAAAGTTGGTAAAAGTGGCCAATACACATCTTCCCAAAATGCAGTTCTGTGCATAGTAAAATGCATTCTGTCCTGATTAGATTATACTATTATAAACAGAAAGTTCAGATTGTGAGATACACCACAGTACAGTTAAGGCACTCTGATAGAAATTCTGAAAATAAAAGTTACAAGAAAGTTTTATAGGAGGCATTAACTGCAGTTGCAAAATGTACCATATCTTCAGATCTTTTGTGATCAGCATTTAAAACAATAGACACTGTTGGGATACAAAGTCAAAGAACATAGAAATACTTTTCAAGAGAAAACTGGTCTTTGTGAAATATTCAATCAGCTGTTGATAAAGTACTCTCAGATTAACTATGCTACTAAGTATGGTAGTTCTGGATTCATGATAAAGATAGCTGAAGATAAGTGATGTTTTAACAGATTTTTAATGTCACAAATTATTTTTTGCCTGGAGTTACAAACCTGTATTTAAAGAAGGGTTGACATCATAATTCTCCACAGACCAAATAAATAAATAAAAATCCTATGCCGTTTAATTTAAAAGACTACCTTTCCATGTACTATTATTAATAATTAACCCGATTCCTTCTGCCTCATTTTTCAAGACACTGTAAGGGCTGAATAATATAGGTATTTGAACGGTTCTTTGAATATTTTTATATGGAAGAACAGAGTTGTCCAATGTGCAGCCTGTGGGCCCCAGGCTCCTGCTCACCAGCCACTCCCCCACCACTTCGGTAGCTGAGGCAGCTGGGGTTTCCAAGGCTCCCCCTCTCTTTTCTGCTTCTGCAGATGGGGTAGAGCAGGCCTGGGCACAGAGAGTGCTGCGAGCCTGGCAGGGGGAAATCTGGGCTACCTACATCACAAGAGAGGAGGCATGTGCATGCAGCAAGGAGGGAGGCTGTGCTGCCCATAGGGTGGAGAAGAGCCAGACTGTGCACACATAGTGGACGAAAACCAAGTTGCCTGTGCTGCACATTTGACAGTGGAGAACTCAGGGGTGTATGGCATGCAGGGTGTGCAGCCTCCTGCCACCCAGAAGCAGCTTAGCCCTGAGGTAGAATGCATCTTTCATGGGGTAAGACACTTGGGTTCACCCATACTTCTGTATTTAATTTGGCTGCAATAATTTCTAAGAAATTTGTCTCCGTGCAGTGAGAAACTTTTCTTGCCTTACTTTGGTTATGTGGCTGCATTCTGGAAATTGAAACAGCTGATATGGTCACAACAAGCAACAGTATCTAGAGAACAACTATCAAAAGTGACACCAGTAACACAAGGCAATGCACTGTAGGGCAGTTAACCACACAAAGGAACAATCAGTTGACTGGGTCACACAAGCAAGATTAGGAAGATCCCATGGTCACAGCCATGTGTTACAATCCAGTTACAATAAAATATTGCTGTCAAACTTCCAAGTGGGCAGGGGCCACGCACCCCACAAGTCACACCAGTGGGAACTGCATGATGTGCAGACCGCACCAGAGCAACTTATGGCCCCCAGGCTTCCACAGTATGGTCACATACAAGTAACTAAGCTTAAAGCACAAGAGTTTTGTGACGAGTGCTGTGCTATTGGACATGACAGCTGACAGAGTGTGACTGAGGCTATGGAAGGAAAAAAAATTACATGCTCCAAAATGGCCAAAATGTTCCCAAATGGCCCTGAAACCCCACAAGGATCTTCCCAGAGGGGCTGATTTAGACTGGCTGACATGGCCATGTCTGAAATTGCCTACACATACAAACTGGAAGATCAAAAATAAACACAATCAAATGGAGCTACTCTAACAACACAAAGATATGCAAGTGTAGTGAAGTGCAGACTATGGAGGACCTGGACCTGTTCATTTACTGACTCCTTGATGAGACCTGTACAAAGGAGGACCCCACTGCAGCAATGGGAAAAGCCATTGCTTGTGCATGATCCTGGAAAAAAGTGTCTAGTTTATGACAAGGATGTAAGTACCTTACTGGTAAGGTTCTCTACTTCTGCAAAGATCTGCTTCTAGGCATGTTCAGAACTGCTGAACACTTAGGCACCTGAGCTTCCTTTGATACATAAACTAGGCATTCCTCTTCCCATTATGCCTGCAGGACCTACTGGATAGGACCCTGCAAAAAAAAAAAAAAAGATTGGAATTCTTTATTTCAAGGCCCTAATAAGTTAGAAGTCTTCCCAGGGTCATGGTGAACAGGAGTTAAATACTAATCTCTTCACATGACAGTATCCTACCCTAGGATATGCTGGAACTACACTGGCCTTCATGTTTCCTGTTGAAGCTGGTCTATCTTCTATAAAATATCTAACTGAACCACAAAAAGAAGGGGAGGGAGTAACTCTATACCTGGATGTTCAAACAGGCACTTGGGAGGTGAAAGCACCAAGTTCAAAGGCATTTACTCTTTAGTTCACTGATTTTGAACCAATGTTTCTCACAGTTCAGGAGAATACCTTAACTACAGAATATGGGACACTTGCGTAGATGTATCCCTTGGTCTCTCCTGTTGAAATTGTCCCGCTTAGTATCTCATACCTATGTATCCAGGTTCTAGTCCTTGTTCCAGTGAAATTTTACAAAATTAAAGAGCATCAACGGGAGAGACAGACAACACCCCAGAATTCCAGAGAGTTGGTAATTAGAGCATTCCCAAGGGAAGCAGGGAGAGATGGTTTCAATTTTCCTCTGGTAAAAGGTGGCCATTCAATCCAGGTCTTCCATGCTCTAGACTACAGAGCCCTAAACAATTGGCCTGTTGGACACCATACAGTCCTCTGCTTTAATTGCACAAGACAGAAAAAATAATATATTTAGATTTATCTCAAAAGGAATATTTTTGTCCGTACTTTTTTCTCTTTTTTCAATTAAGGAAGTAAAAATAAAAAGGTTTTACACATTGGGTTGAGCTGACCTTTTTTGTTCAGCTGTCAAACCAAAAACCAATTATTTGCTCAGTCTTACACAGGAATCATGACCCTTTTCCCTTCTATAGGGCAATAGGGCATGCCTGTGGTACGAGCTCCTACAGCAGCTATACACAGAAAATTATCCTTACATATCAGTGTTCCCCTGAGGTCTGTCAAGCCACTTTTACAGCCAGATTATGCTAAAGGTATAGCATAAAACAGCCATATAACACCAAAGAATCTGACTCACTAATGCTACGGCCTGATTCTTAATAACGCTCTGGGTCTTTTCTGCCACCCATTTACACTTACCATGACAGATCCTGATGTGGCCATACCTGAGAATTGGGACAAGGTTAAATATACCAATGTTTCAGCAAAAAAAACAAACAAAAAACCAAACCATAAATATTTTTCTTAGGGTCTTTCTCTAGTAGCAATGGATGGTTTAGTTTTATTCCTTAAAAGAATATAGACCTCAGAATACTTATTTGGTGGAGGGTTATATTCAGTTCCTGATTCAGTTCTTTATGTGAACGCTACACATTTTGAACACAGTGTTAATTTCAGCTATTACAGCTCAAAATGATAGTTGTTCTTCACATATTAATATTCTAGAGTCATACTAAATACTCTGCAGTGAAAGAAAATAAATGGCAAACATAACAAGCACATGACACCTAACAAGAAAGTGTGTTCCAACAATAATATATGAGAAAACTAATGTGATAATAATTATGTTAAATAATTATGAAAATCAATTTAAGTTTTGGATGTAAAGAGCTAAGTGAGCCAGCTTTACAGTTGTAATAATGAGAATAACTTCAAGCAAGAGCCAAACGAACAATATCACAATATTGAGACAGCAAACAACCAGAAAGGGGGTGGGTACTAGAGCTAAATCAGAAACAGAATGTAAGGTACAGAAGGAAACAAACATGAACCATATGGAAAAATATTCACACTGCATTAGTATTTAATTAGATAATATAATGGATAAAGACACTTATGCAAGTCATCATAAACTGACAAAGAATCAATGAAAAATGTGCTGCTCATAAAACTGGTTAACCCATTTGCATGGAAGTTATAATTTGATCAACCACAAGTTCAGATGCAATTTAAAACTGAAAATAATTATTTTGGGGGTGTGACTTTGCTACTGTATATAGCAAACTATAGATAAGTTGCTACTGAAGATGTTCTTTACTTATGTTCCTCAATACTATAAGGGAAAAAAAACACCATCACCACACACAATCGATACCTGAGCCCAAAATTAATAAGTAATGCTGCTGAAATGGTCAACGCCATGTTTTGGATACAAAGCATTTGAGCTGATTACAGGACTTTTCCAGAGCATATTCTTTATTTCCCAAAGCAGAACTAGCATAGTTATGTAGTGCATTTGCAAATCAAAAATATTTATTTCAAATATGCCATATATAAAGGATTTTTGTGATAAGATCCAGAGAGTAAAGCTGGAATGTATTCTATACATTTCATTTGTGGAACAAATGATCAAAAAGTGATATATAGCATCAGCAAAGATGAACTGCCTATAGCAACAGACATATTTCCATGGGCATTTTAAATAGAAGGGGAATGAAGAATAAGCAAGACAGACAAAATGGTTAAGAAATACTCTGGATGCTCATGAATGAACAAAGAACATTTCCAAAAAACTCAAATATACAAGTTCATGAAGTCCAAAGCAGGTGTAATTTACATAAGTGGTGGTTAACATCAGGCAGCTTCACTATTAAGTCTTTCAAAGAAATCACTACTGACTCTCAAGCGAGAAATCTCAACAGTTTTTTAAAATGCAGATGGTGCTTTTCTAATTTTTCTGAGATCATACATAGTTTGCCCAGAATTCACATTTGGCAATCCTAGCTTCAGGGCTCACATGAAGAGAGAAGTTCATGGTAAAGTTTTCAAATGGTGAAAAAAAAAAAGTTTCATCTAAAAAATAATTAAGGAAGAAAAAAAAAAGTTCCTGTTTTTTGTTAAATATCTACCAAGTCTATTCTAAATGCTTTTATAATCTATAAGGATCTTTTCCATTTTGATTTGTCAACTGTAAGAACATTCACCTTAAAAACAGATGACATTGACTTGAAAGCATAAAATAAACATCAAGGAACTGATTAGAATACTCTTAGAAGTCACGCTTTATTGCAGAAAAAACAACAACTGTAATCCAGTTTGTTTTGAAGGACACTTTCAGGCAGCAAACTCTTTTTGGTCACTCCTTTTAGAGTAATTCTAATTCTTCAAACTATGATTTCATATAGTAAAATGATGAATACACTTACTTGTAAAATAGAAAACCATTTGGCAGTGAAAGCAAAAGGTGCTTTATGAGAAAGAAAGATATAGGGATCAAGGAGGCAAAGTCAAGTGACAGTGAACATGTTAGTAAAGAAAATTAGAACACAATAAAAAGGTGAAATGAAAAGCAGAAAAAAAGCAGTTTAATCAGTCAATTTTTACTGACTAAAAGAATGCATATTCCATGTAAAAACCATAAATATCTACAGCAGTGCTTAACGGGTATCATGTGGAACTTTATTTAATGAATGTCTAACATACACAAGGATGACAAACAAACAGAAGATTTTTACAATTCAATTTTTTGTTTAACTGAATAGCAAAAGGATCTTAGTCTGATATAATACCATCAGTATACATTTTGTTAAAGGCAAAAATCAGCATGGTAATCAGTAGTGCAAAATATACCATTTTCAAAGGGCTTTACAGTAGACTTATACCAATGTAACTATTAAAACAGTTTAAGCATTTTCTTCTCACCGTGCAAATAGACTTCAGAAGGAGGGCAATCTATTAATACCGAAATATGCTACTGGTTTGCATAAGAAAATTTTCAGGTCTAAACGTTGCAAATATATTATGCCATTATGCCCCTGGAAATAATTTCATATAAAATTCACATGCAGCCGAAGACAGGTTATTTGTGGGAGTTGCCCACACCTCTGAAATTCTCTAAAGAAATATGCTTACAAAGCTGGCTTTATTTAGAAAGAGCAACAAAATATACTTCTTTGCCCAGACCTTTACAAATGATTAAATTACGAATCTGTAAATTCCTAACTGAAAGGTCAGATTAAACGCTAAAGCCAGTAGTAGAGAATAGTGTGTTTAATTCTTATTTACAATAAACTGATGCAATCAAAATCTTGTTAAGATGTGCCCAGGCATCCTATAGATGGTATTACTGCATTTAACAGTTAGCCTGAATCAGGGATCAGTTAAAACTGAAACACGGTGTTTGATGATGACTACCATTTATTATGACAATTTTTAATACAGTAAATGAGAATATATGGAAGATTTTGTAAGAGGATGTATGATTCCCCCAGTTGCTTGGTGATTACCATAAGTATACTCTAGTTCAAGAGATCTACATACCTACTTGTCAATTGTGACTACAAAGTTTTCTACTCTGAGTGGCAGGAGGAGGCTAATCATCCAATTTATGTAAAATCTATCCTGATTTTGTAGCTCCTGATCTCTTGGATACAAACATACAACTGGCTTACATTACGGAGGTTACCAGTGTTATCTTTACCAGTCGACATACTAGTCCAAAATCTCTATCATTTCTATGCTACCGAAGTATGAAAGTGAGAACCCTTTTGCCAGTTTTTTCCTCTTCTTCAGGTGCTGGAGGTAGTAAAGACTGCCATCAATTTCTCTCTGCTGTTGCTTGCAAATCTCTTACAGGTAAGGCCCTGAACAGTCACTGTAGCTTGTATAAAGGGAGGGGAAAAAATTCCAAAGGTGAGGTTGAAGGAAGTGAAGAATCGGACACAGACCGCAGCACTTGGAGTGGCCAGAAGATTAAAGAAGCAGCAACAGAGAGACAATCCTCTCTCACAGCAGTCAGGAGGCTTTGGGGAAGGAAGCAATGCTCCTCTTCTCCTTCCTGCAGTCAGTGCAAAGTACTGGGTGGGGATTTTAACTTTTTCAGAATAAAGAGTATAAAAAATAAAGAATATTGCTTTTATTCAGAGATGAACATTACATAACTTAATCAAAAGGAGCTAATTGAAAGTCACCTTGTTTAGATTTTGGCACTATGTGTGCAAGAGAGAAATTTTACGAAATCTTCTAACATTGGGTTCAAGTGCTGAATGAAACCACAGAGCTTCTCCACCTGCTCCAATTGCCTTCTAAAAGCAGAAAAAAACTGTAGGACTTAAATACCAAGTGACAGTCACCTAAAAAATTAAATCTACAGAGTACACATGTGTGTGTTATGTGTGTGGTTAATACTGCAGGCCTCGACCTACAAGCTGTTCCACAAAGATGTCTGCTTCTATAGAAGAGCTTGTAGACCATAATCCCAGATAAAAATTAAAGCTCTGCATCGTTTTGCACCATCTTTGCTGTTTCCTTCTTGTAATTCGCTCCCCTAACAGTAACATTTTCCATTTTTTATTTCACTCTTTATTGCATAGTCCATGT